TTTTGATTCGCCATGGTCACTACAACATCAACGGCGAGGCAGACCATGAACGTGGACTCACAGAGCTGGGTTAGTCGAATCTTTATTCTCCATTCTCTGCGATATGGGAAAATTATGGACAGTCGTGAATTGACGAACTCAGAAACCGGCTCTAACTGGACATATACAGTATTGGGTTTTTGAAGAACTTCCATATCCAAAATATTTTTTATGCGAGCGTTAAATTTTTTTTTCGGTAACTGTCGACGAACTTTTTCAGATGATGTCTAGTTTCGCCTCGAAAGAGAAGTACGCTCATTTCTTGATACAGTCAAACTTCAATAATTTATAGTGGCTTTGTGGTAGTAAGCGAGGGTGGCACCAAATCGATGAGGATGTAGGCAAAATGAGGTTTTTTATTTCATTTTACAGAATTACTAGTCCACTGAGTTTGTTTTACTAGAAAAAAAACCAAAAAAAAAATAATTTCAAGTACAGATCCACCGTTTTATACAGTACTGTAATTCGTTTCAATTTACAGCGCAGTATTTAATAAAACAGAAAATAAAATGTTTTTTTTTCTAATCGAAGAGTAGAGCTGTTTCTTCCATCAATTGCCTTCATGCTGGAATCTCCAGTACTTCGAGTAAATCTCACACTTCATGAATAAATTTCCAATAAAGGATTATGTCTTGCAGCGACAAAAAATGTTTTCAACAGTGTACCTTCGGAAATAGTATTTTCGAAATTATCCCAAGTTTTTATGTGAGCGTGGGTGTGTGATTCTCAGTTATAATCCGATAAAAACGAATGAAGAAAGAAGAACGATTTTTTCAGGTCGCGAACAAGCGTCGTTAACCGGTGTTCGGCTGCGAGCTCTGAACCTTCCCTACAAACTTCTCGTTCGGTCCACAATGAAACGTGCCTTGGAAACGGCGGAATTGATCATGAAAGAGATGCAAATGGGCAATGAATTGGACGTGCGCGAGTCTGATTTATTGCGAGAAGGTGCCCCGATCCCGCCTGAGCCTCCAGTGGGGCATTGGCGACCGGAAAAGCATGTAAGGCATTGATTTCATTGATCTTCCTTCAACGTCGTTGATAAGCTCTCTTGTTGCAATTATTTGCGTGCCATTTTGGCCGCCTCTGGGCATCAGTATTTTCCTATGTGCACAGAGAATTCTCATTTCTGTTCTGTATTTCACGCTGTCGCATGAAGATCTGCCTGTTTCGGTTTTCATGCGGCGTCGTATTTTCGCGAATGCAAGAAGTCATCGATTCTGGGAATTGCAAATGATTCATAATGAAGAAATACGCGAAAATGCTCATCATTTTAATTGAAAGTGTAATTGACCTCTCGGAAGAATATAACAATTGAGGCTAGAGCTTAAAAACATTGAATTGTAGAAAAAGTGGCCAGACCCTTCATCGTCTGTACTTTGAATTTTCCCTCTTCTGCATTTATAAGAGTTCAAGTCAGCCTTTCAACTGATCTTTTATTGTAGAAATATCTTCAAAAATTTAATGATCTATTCAAGTTATTAAAAGGGAAAATGCAATATCTGTGTTTTCAATGCGATTAATTGTAGGAGGAAATCAGATTTTTTCAGTTAAAATCGGGAGAATGAAACTTATTCGCGTGAATAAAGCATGCTTCCAAATTTTCGAATTCTGTCGCTATTCAGAAAATTTTTGATCTAACCACTTTTGCATGCTTTTGAAATTAAAC